TTCCCGAAATGCAAGCTTCAACTACATTAGAATACAACAAACAATATATTTACAAATCACCACAAAACCAATATCAACGGTTTTGTAATGCATTTGCATACAGCCTTATGATCATCACGGAAGATTCTATATATCCAAAGAAGTTAGCATGCGAAGAATTAAACAAAGTGTAGAAAGAAATTAAAAACAAACCCAAAAACATGATAGAAAACATTATAGAAAGTTTAACTATAAATACAATTTCTACTATTCTAGACCTAGTTCCTGCTCAAAATTTCATTGCTGCTTCTTCAGTTCAAAATAGAATAATCAGGGAGATCGTTGTTCCAGATGCACCACCACCAAATGCTGTGGCACAGTATAAAGTAACAGAAGCCATTGTTAAAATAAATAGTGAAATTGAGAAATGTCAAAAAACCTATAACATGACAACCGACCAAGAGGTCAAGTTTAAATTATTAGAACACATACAATGTCTTAAGCAAACTCTCCATACTAAGAGTGGGAAACTCCAAAGTCTTAAAAAAAAGGCTGAATATCAACAAAGATATCGTGAAATAAAAGACAAAGAGTTACAAGAAAATCAACAAGTGATGAAATACGATTCGCCCAGGCGTCCTTCTTTATTGTTCAAGCATCCAGACTTGCTTAAACAAATTCATAATAGTATAGAGTTTGGGGCTGCTGATTGCAAAAGGAGAAAGGAAACAATAAAAGTTAGAACTATAAACCATCTACGTGATGAATTAGAAAAAAATTATAATGAGCATATCTCTTATACTACAGTGTGTAATTACCTGTTACCACGTCATCAAAATTCTATAGTGGCAAGAAAGCACCATCATCTGACTAATGTTCAGGTTAGTATTGTATATCTTGATATTCAAAATCAGTTTGAATTGTGTATATATTTTAGAAGTTATATATAATTATATAGGTGACGATAAGTAATGTTACACATCAGACCAAAAATGCAAAATATTAGTTAACCAGGAATTTTTTAAAAAATCGATTTTTAATCGATTATAGTCAACTAATCGATTAACAGTCAATCTATTAATCGTTATCATTCGATTAGTTGTCTAGTAAAATTATCAATCGATTAGTTGCTAATTTGATCAACTAAACAATTAATCAATTTTCGATTTAGAACACTAATATTCAGGTTTCAATCATACTAAGTTAATATAATTGAAATCTGGTTTTTTCTTGATGCTATTATAAATTAAATTTTTATTTAGTATGTTAAATTGAAAAAATATGATAAAATTTTAAATTAATTTTTTTTCTATATTCGCATTTTGCCTACTTTTATTTGTTAATAATACTGACCCAGGTCACATCTATCTCAAGAAATGAAATGAAAGAACATCCGAACGGTCATTATTGCCTTGCCTCCATCAAGGCAGCAAGGCAATTTGCTGCCCTGTTTCCAATCTTTTCAGTAATTGTGTTCCAAGATGATAAAGCCAAAATCCCACTCGGCATTCCTGCAGTTGGCAAAACTTTCAAAGCCATACAAAGTGCTAATGAGCCAACAACTCTTCCGGATCATGATTTCCCTGTTGGCTCGAAACAGAAGCTCATTCCTTCCATTTATCTCTTGATTGATCCAAATGATACAAATGACACCCTTAGAAGTGGTCAACTGTCAATATATATCCATTCACAATATGAAATAGGAACAAGTGCTATGACGTATATGAGCGATCTACAGTCATTAGTAAATAACAGCCATTTCGACAATAGGCTAAAGGTTGATGATAAAATTAGACCCATCTGGGTTCTCATTGTAGATGGGAGTCCAGATGAAAATCTCCGCCACTTAAAAAATATTTACCAATATTGCAACATGTTTCGTTCCTTTGATTTGGACTATTTGACTGTTAGGACTTATGCTCCAAGTTAGTAAACTAAATAAAATTGACAAATTATTTAGTAAAATGGTTAATTAAAATATAGTCAAACCTCGTTATAATATAATTACAACTTTATAATCACCAAATTTTTGGTTCCAATCTGGTGATTATATCAAGATCAGACTGTATTTTAACCAAATAAAAGTTGACTAATTATTTTGGTTAAAATTATAATTTATACCAAAATACCAGTCAAAATTAAAAAAAATTCAAATGTCCGAATGGCATAATTCGAATGCCATTCATCAAATTGAATTTTTTTTAACTTTGACTAGTGTAAAATAGTAATTATAATATTGATTAATTAGAAACCTTTAGCAAACTAACAAATATTAATCAATTAGTAAACTAATCATTATTTGTCCTATTATTACCCAAGGCCAATCGGCGTACAATCCTGTTGAAAGAAGCATGGCACCACTTTCAAACAGACTTGCGGGTATAGTTTTACCTGTGGACCATTACGGTTCCCACCTTAACTCACAAGGTAAAGTCATTGATCTGGAGCTTGCAAAAAAAAATTTCAAATATGTGGGTGATCTTCTTTGTAATAGATAGAAATGAGACCCTATTTTTGGAAAGCCAGTTATAACTGAGTATGTTGATATAGAAAACATTCCATTTCCGAATGTTGAGTTTCCAGAGTTGGAAAATAATATTGATAATTATAATGTGCCTTGGGAATGAATAGAAACGCATACAAGAATTTGTAAATACTCTTTAGATGTTAAAAAGTATAATAACATTACATGTTGCTTGCCTAAATGATGTAATGAGGTTAGTGATCTTCTTGCTACCAATAATGGCTTTCTTTTGCCTCTTGTAATGGGAAAAGACAGCCATTATGTTAACTCAATTCATCTATTAGAGTACTATGACAAGGGAAAAATACCAGGTTATGATGAACATTGTCCCTCCATCACTAAAGACAAACACACAAAACTCTCTTGTCC